TTTTGTTCAATTCATATCCCGGTAACATCCACATGAATGCCAGGACCCCAGATTTCCCAGCAGAACATTGCACTATAACGAGATAAACAATGGTATTCACTTATCCTGTCAGGGTTTTATTATCGTGACTGATTGGAGTATAAAAATAATAACTCACTCCCAGTACACTCTTGGCCACGGTGCCCCAACCAAAGCTGCTTCCCAGTTCCTAATGAGATTGCAATCACTGGCACAACTTGAATGGATTCCAAATGAGCGAGGACTGCTCAGTCAGCCCCACTTCATCTGAACGATTGCACACATGAGACCAGGGGAGAAAGCTCTTTAGTCAAACCACGCTCCTGGTGGCTCTCTGGAGGGGAACCTTTAACTACAGTCTTGTATGACAACACGGCGGCTGTCCGTCCGACCTGTAGCTCACCCCGTCTTTAAGTCCCTCTGAGGACGAAATTCACTTCAGATTGCTTTTGCTGCTACATGTGTGCCTCTGTGCTTACAGCTGTGTGTCTTCCAGTGGGCATGTTCATGCAGGGTAATCCTGATTAAGGTCTGATCAGTCCAACAAAGCTGCTGTAATAATGTCTCTTTTTTTAAAAACAAAAGGATAAATTAATTTCCTTTGGCTCACAGTGACAACTGAAAATCGATTGAGTTTTAATGACACATTTTCATGCACAACAGCAACACAAAACTGTCGCTCGTCTTCCAGCTGATCCCTGAAAGCTGACAGAAGCTGGAAGATGCTGGAAAATAATTTCACAAGCAAGGTGCTGTGGTAGGCTGTGTAGGCCGACCAGCAGCAGCTCCATGAAAAAAAAAGGTTTCTTTGTAATCAGATGTGAAAGTGATGCAGTGCATTCAGATTTCTGAATACTCATTTTACACAGAGAAACACCTGAAAGTGGCAGCTTGCCATCATGCAAGACAAGCATGCACAAAGAAGGATGCTTTCAGAGTGGACAGGGCAAGATAGTGAATAACTAGTCTGACCTCTAGTGGTGACACTGGTGGAAAACGCACAACAGTTGATGAAAAACAAACTGCAAAACAGTTCAGAGGAGGAGAAGAGAAGGAAAAATCTGAAAAGTTACAGTCTGGACTCTTTGTGTTGTATTATTAGATGATTTATATGATTGGATTATCCTCGATAATGGATTAAATGTTTATGTCTTAGAAGGCATCCTTATAAGGAAATGTTAAGATTGTTTACTGAAGCTAAAGTACCAATAAACAAATACTCCATTACAAGTGAAAGTCTTGCGTGTAAAATCAATACACGGCAGCAAAATGTGCAAAAACTGCAACAAAAAAAAGCTTGTTATCTATTGTGTCAGTACTTAAAAGCAACTTAATCCGTCAGATAAATGTACTGGAGTGGAAGTATAAAAGTACCTCAGCACAGTACTTACAAAAGAAATGACCCTCATCGGATTTTAGATGTTATTTTTCACGACTCAAACACTGATTTAGCTCCGACCTGCCCGACCTGCTGATGAAATGTTCACTTCTTTCAGACTCGCTGTCTCAAATTTTAAGTTTGGAGAAAAACTTCACTCCAACTTTGGAACCACAGAAGACTTTATCTAAAAGTCAGAGACAAACTGTCATGTTTTGATGGAGCCGTCTAAAGGTCACAGTGAGAATTTTTAAGCACCGCTCCTCCGATCTTTCGCAGGAAGTTTTGTGCTTCCTCGCTGTAACTTTTGAATTCCCTCACGATGTGCTTTGCATTTCTTCTGATCCGAGCAAACAGTGAGTCTGTCGGTCCAGTACAGTCACAACTCACAGCCAGTTTAGATGAACATTCTGGACTCACAGATTATGCGACATTTAACGTGATGCATTTATAGCTAATTATCCATTTTCAACGGCGGATCTCTGAAAGCATCCAGCTGCTGTTGTGAACACATCTGCAGCTGTTCTACCTGCTGTGATGGTGAAGCTGCATATATAGTTATTGTTCATTTGCATTCGAATGATGCAAATGCAAAAGTTATTGCAAGCTAGTGAAACGAACGAAAAAGTATCGCAAGATAATGCAAAGGTTCTGTGACTTACTGCAAACATTTTGCAAAGGTTTTGTGATTAAAACCAAAAGTATTGTGACTGAATGCAAAAGTTTTAAGGGGTAGTGCATATATTTTGTAATTGAACACAAAGGTTCTGTGATTGACACCAAAGGTATTGCGAGGGAACACAAAAGTCCTGAGAAGTAACACTTAAGTATTGGGATTGAATGCAAAAGTATTGTGAAGAAGAGCTAAAGTATTGCGATGCAACACAAAAGTATTGCAAGGGAACACAAGGATTATTGCAAGGTAGGAGAAAACTGTTGTCACTGAAAACAATTCCCACTGTGACCCTGGCAGGGTTCCATATATTTTCTATTTTCATAGCTGACGATGGGCAGCTAC